GTTGTGATAAACAACACTGTAGAAATAAAGACTAATTTGAGGCTCTTCGAAGGGTTCAAAGCTCTTCTTTGGATGATGCCTGTCTTTTGTTCTGTTCTGTGATAAAATGATCCCACACTGCTCCAGGAATGTTGAGGTCCGGGCGCTAATTTAGCACACCTCAGCCTCCGTTCCCTGTTGCCCTTCATGAGAATGGCTTCTTGTCTTCCACAGACAACAATTCTAATGAAGGTTCAGCAAACAGTTGATGGTTAAACTGAAGCTCTAGATGCGTCTCTGAGGTCCTGTGTCATATCTTTGTTGGCTTTTTTTTGCACCATTTCCTAAGATCGTGACTGTCAGATACTGTTTGTCTGCTGTAGATAGTAGTTTAATCAGGCCTGGTCCTTCTTTTGTAATTCACTTTTCCAGTTTCCTCATTGTTTTTAAGGACATACTGCACACCATCCCGGGACTAGCCAAGCTTTGGACTCATAGCACTAACGAAATGGTAACAAACTGTGTTTATTATTGGGATACAGTGTAAAATGTAAATAAAAACATGATTCAGTGATTTGGAAATCTCATAAACCCATTTTTATTCACACGTGGAACACAGAAAACATATCAAATGTTCCAACTGAAAAAAATTACCAAAAAAAATAGAGTTAATTTTGAATAGGGTCATTTTTCCCACTGTGTAGCACCCCTCTTCTTTTAACAACAGCAAACATCTGGAGCTGAGGAGAGCAGCTGCTGAACTTTAGGGAGAGGAATGTTGTCCCGTTCTTATCTGATATTGGATTCCAGCTGCTCGACAGTCCTGGGTCTTTTTTGTTGTATTTCTCGGTTGGTGAAACGTCTGGAGACAGGCTAGTTCAGCACTCGGACTCTTCTACTGCTGTATGAGATGCAGTATGCAGTTGTCATGATTCGGCTGTGTGCAGGCAGGAATTGGACCCAAACGCAAACTCAAGGGAAACAGGACTGAACTCAAAATGCCAGCTTTTATTGCTGAACAGAAAACTTTACAAAACCTAAACTGGGAAGATTCTAAGAAAACACACACAGGCAGCCGTAGAGAGAAACACACAGCATAAGGGAGGACGCAACGCTGAACGCAGGAAGACAGAGGACTTAAATACACACATGAGGTGATCAGGAGAAGTGGCAACACATGAGGAAACAGCTGACACACATGAACATAACGACATCACAGGGGAAATGTAAAACTAAACACAGGAACACAGGACCTCTTTCAAAATAAAACAGGAAACATAATGAAACACAGACGACATGAACTTAACAAAAGACATGAAACATATGAAGGGCGGATGATCTGATATCGTCGTGTTGGTGTTGTTCCCAGATCATCATGAAAATGTTGTTCCAGGTTCAACATTGCAAGTGACCAATCACATTATTGTGACGTTATT